ATGACCCGTCGTGTCAAGGAGATGCCTGGCGATGGCAGTGTCCGAAGCATTTGTTCCCTTTAGACGTAAGCATTTTGGTACATGTTCAGAAAATCGTAGATATGCTCTTTTTCTTTCTGTCCTTCCAATGTAACTGCTCCCACAGATACATGTAAATTTGTACATTCACTTGGAGTTAACATGAGAAGGATATCTATCGATTTTCGATTGCACCAAAGAGCAAGTTGTTCAAGCTTAGCTGCGGGATAGGCTCAGGCTAGTGACATACTCAGCCCTCTGTTGATCATTGCTTCAATGCCTACACCATTATAATCCAACTGAATGTAGATTGGCTTTTTACCTACTGTGATTTGTTTTACATTTGTGGCTTCAGATCTTCCATACTTGTTGATGAACTGTAGTTCTTGTTTTGTTCAAATCCATTAAGGTTCTTATATTGACTGACTAACTTTCAACATAGAACTTCACAAAGACGCACAGCATTTCAAGCTGCGACAAGCCATGTAGTGCACAAGAGTACAAAAATCAAAGAAAATTAATTCAAAATAGCCATAGCCAGGTGGTCTATACCAATCCGCGTGGCTAAGACTGGCAAACAAAGGTTTCATTAATTTATTCCGGGGTTTGCTTTGATCTGCACTAACTGTTTCCCAGTATAATTCCATATCAGCTAACACTGTTCATCATTACAACCTCTTCGATTAATTTCCCCTCGTTACCTAACCTTAATACTGCTCATCCTATTATAACACATACCATGAGGGCTAGAACACAGATACCTAAGGCCAAACGCAGCTAGAAGTTCAAAATCCTCAACTTTCGGTAATCATATCTCACACCTATACAGGAGGATGGAACGAAATTCTGCTGAGCAGTGCTCACGTTCTTTGGTCAATAGCTAGCCAGATATCACATCGTCGTCTGTAATAGCGTAAGTTGGCGAATGCCACATTAACCTTTTATATTCTTGCTGAGATTTCGTCAGCGACTAGCCCGTTGGCACCAATGAGACTTCTAAAATAAAAGAAGTGGTCAACACGCTGCACCGCTTCACTCCAGTTATCTAGCATCATTTTACATTTGATAGGAGCGAATTTCATGTCAAAAATTAGAAGACTGCTGTTTGAGGTATTCAGAAGAATCTGCATTTTACTGGCACTTTTATCCTGTGGGGACTGCATGACTCGCATGTTCTAATTCAAAACAACCATACTCTGGTCACAATTCATTCCGAAAATCGGTGAAGCTTGTTAGAGTCAAAGAATACCGCTTTGGATGAAGACAGAGAGACACAGGGAATTCGACGAACAAGTATGCGGAAAACCAATACAAGCACATAGGTCAAATGCTCAGCTAAAACAGTAATAACCCAATGACTAATAAAAAAAATGTCCGTGGACATTACTTAAATAAGGTTCAAACACACACTGTAACACTCCAGTGTTGAGGAGAATAGAACAGAAATATCTACTATCTTCAAGAAGAAACAATTTCTATACAATTGCCTCAAAAAGTGTTTAAATTCAAACCGAAATACCAACAAGAAACCATCCTCAATGACTACAAAAAAATTCATCCTCACTCACAGACAAATGATGTCAGCAGTCTTAGAACCCAATAGATCCAATTAACTAGAACTCCAGGAAACTCCATCCTGTAGCAAGTCACTAGCGAGCATCAGAATAATTTTCAATAGTTTGGTTTGTAAGAGTTACTTATGTTTTTGCGAGTTGATCACGGATTGATATCAGTTAGAGAACCATTGAAAACCAGGGAGATGTCAAGTGTGTGTGGATTGATGTCCCACCAACGACAATGGTTGGGGTCGCGTTAAATCACGAATTGGTAGAAGTTAGAATTCATTGAGTTGGGTCCCACTGACTGAATGGTATACGAGCTTTCCTTGTAACTGGAAGGTACTGGGTTCGAATCCCGTGGTGTGGGTGCGTACTGCCTGTGATTCCCAAATTAAGATGAAACAGTAGATCCAATTAAGTAAAATGCTGAAATTTACTAAATACTATGTAATGACTGTGACGTTAATTACACGGGTCCATTCAACAGATTGGGAACACTTCCCTTAAACTTCTCTGTTGCAAGTGCAATGTAAACGCCATGCACAGGTTTTTTTATTCCTTCACGTTCACAGTGGAACATTGAGCTTCAAGCTAGAGGCTTGAAGTTTCGGTAACAGTGGTGTTTATTGTTACAGGATGAGGTTGCTAGCCTCATGCCCAACCTTCCCTCTCTAACAGTCTCATTACTGGCTTAGCGAAGTAAAGGAATGCGTCAGCCTGGGTCCGAACCCCGGACTACACGCGTGGGTGACGAGCATTTCAATGCTGTGCCACCGACGCACAGCATGCAAGGTGATGATTAGTAAATAATTAATGTGTTACGACTACTTAACCAAGTACTCATTAGAAGAAAACAACTCTGTAAATGACGTAATTATAAATGTTTTTTTCTCGACTGTAATAACCACAAAATAAAAACAGCATTTGTGATAATTTTTCTGTCTCAACTATCAAATACAACATTAGAGTATTATCTTGTACACGTCAGAGGTACAAAAGGGTATATCTAACTCTGCTGTATATTATCAACAAGAACACGAAAGCAATTAATTACATTATTGCATTGATGAAATTATTGATAAAAAAATGACAATTCCATGCATAGTGAAACATAGAAGAACACAATCGGGTTGATATGAGTACAGTTCAGTCAGTCTGCCTACTGTTTTGTTAAGGAAGGAAAGCTGAACGCTGTCAGTGCGTATAGATTTTTGATGGGATAACACTGTAGTTCTGTATGGCCTTTAGACATCTGAATTAGAGTCAAATATTCAAGTATACGATGATGTAATCAATCTGTTATATGATATTAGCTTATTAGATAGTTGGAGGCAGTCGGCAGGAAGGAAGCGGCTGACCTAGGTTCCGTGCTAGTTAGCACTCATCAGCAAGGATTATCTGCATCCTTGAAGGAACTGATGCCGCTTCTGAGATTCGAACCCGCGTCACCCAGTGCTGCCTGTAGTCAGAGACGTTACCACTGAGCTATTCGGGTTCGCGATTGACCTCCTATAGAACTGTATTGGATATATTTTGATTGGACACTAGTCAGTAACTAGTGTGACGTGTCTAGTCTTTTCTTTGGTCGAGACTGAATTCTATCAGTCAGGTTTTGCAATGTGGCCACCTTTCTAGGTAGCTCGCCATCACGGTGCACGTTGATTTGATGATATTAAATAGTTGGAGGCAATATACAGGAAGCCCTACATGATCTAGGTTTCGTGCTAGTTGGCACTCACCAGTCAGCAAGGCGTATCTGTAACTGCCTTGAAGGAACTCATATCCCTTCTGAGATTCGAACACGCGTCACCCATGAGGAACTCATGATATCGGCTTATACATATATATATACTTTCATTTAAATTGCGGTAATCACTAATAAACCTAGAAATTTAAAGACGTCACCACCTTCACTCATCTAAGGATTGTCGTTTCATATACAGGCTGTTGGTATGGATGGCGATGGCAAATCCAGAATTGGAAAGCAAAAGTACACCCTGATCAATATGAACTCCGTTTGGAAAACTTCTCCATTCAACATGAAGTACAAAATTTTGATTTTCAACACCTATGGTAGGTCAATCAGGTATTTCTTCCATATAGACCAGAAACTTGACGGGTGTGTGCGTGTGTGCCTCGCGAAGAGCATTCCGAACAGGCTACTGCATACTTTTATCAAGGGTAGCCTCATTCGCTGGCAGCACACTGAAGACAATATGGCCTGTCACAGAGAATAATCTTAATCCTGAGACTGAAATTATGCAAACAGAATTTCTTCCATGGTCATTATTATCTGTCGATTTATTAATATGAATCATGTGAGATTGTATGATGAATACAAATATCAACGGGCCAGTACACACATTTTCTCAGCTCTATGCCCTTGAAATACAAACGCAGTCTAATGAAGTGCTTGGTCCACAGAACAAGAGAGATTTGCTCGGACGAATGTCTTGACGAGGAACTTAACAATATTAAACGGTTGCTAAGTGAGAATGGTAATCCTGAAAAGTTTATTGATAAGAATCGGAATCTGAAACCATAGCAGCCCAAGTTACCGACAGTTCCAAAAACGCCTTGTTCTTACAGATGCAGTTCCTAGGAGACAACACCAGTGATATACTGACACAGCGCCTTAGAAATGCGGTAAAAAGAGCATTTCCTACTGCAGAATTACGGTGTATCTTTAAAACCACTCCTCTTCTGCGTTCGGGAGTAAAAGACAAACTGCCTAATTTCACCTCTTCCATGTGTATATACCAATTTAACTGCTCCTATGGAGCCAGTTACATAGGCCGTACAATTAGGCATGTTTCTCGTCGAATTTCCGAACATCACCCTGCCTAGTGGTTAAGTAAAGGACAAAAAAATCTATTCATATAGCGGTATTCTATCTCATCTTGTGGATACAGAACGCAAGACTGATGTTAACCAGGCTTTCAGGGTCATTCACTACATACCTACGAATCTCAATTTTGCTTTAAGAGTTCGACTACTAAATATTGCTGAAGCTGTTGTGACCCATATTAAGAAGCTTAATTTGTGCATCTAAAAGGAGTTAGTTCAGACATTATCCTTATCTTGGCCATCTAGGTTTGAATGACCCTGAATTTTCGTGGAATTTTCCTAATTTCAGTTGATATTCTATTCACTACCATATCTTTATTGTTATAATAATTTGAGCATCTTTATTGAACTGTAACTCAACTGTGATCTCACTTAACAAATCGATATTATTTAAAAATCACCGATATTGTTATTGACTACCATTCAAGAATATTCTATGTATATAAACATATATATAATTGTAGAGCCTGGAAGAGGAATTTATCGAAAAGAATATTCTTTGCTCTATTATTTTGTGTTTTATAAATTTAATCCTTACAAAGCAAGTCTTCAAAATACCAAAAAATTATAAAATATCTACTCTGAACTTACTGATTTTGTAATTGAATGTGTATACTGTCCCATTTCATAACGAATTCTTCCATTATCCCCAAAATCTTCATCAGTAGCTTGAAATTGCGTAATAATATATCCAACTGCTGCATTCTCCGCGACTTCAATCAATACAGGTTCAGACAATTTAGCCGGTGTATAGCCTGATCCATTCATTATACGAAATTCAGGCTTACAATCGTTTACATCTTGAATGTATACAATGATTGGAAGGGTAGTTGTATGCCTGTTCTCTTCTCGTCTATGCAGATCACTGTTATCATCGATAGCTAACAAGTAAAGATCATATTTGTCTCTTTTTTCACGATCAAGGGTATGCTCCAGTTGAATCTCTAAAACTTTGGTATTCAACGTTTCAGTTAATTTTAAACTAAATAAATTGCTTAAATTAACAGGTTTTTCAGAGAATACACCTTTTTCTTCTTCTGCGAAACTTTCACCTGCCTCTAATCGATAAGTTATCTCTGAATGCAAGCACATATCTACATCAGTAGCAAGAGGCAACTGATGCCTCACACCAATTCGATCATCTTCTGTGAAGCTTACTTCATATTTTGTGAAAGGTTTAAAACTGGGATAATTATCATTTAAATCTAATAGTTTTATCCTTATAGTAAATATTTCCATACCAGTATGAAACAGATTTATAGCTAAAGTCATAATAAATTGACAATAAGGTAGTAATAAGGATAATTCACCGGATTCAATTTTCCCTCTGCTGTTCAATGTTTCACGGGTTAATAATGGCGTTGATGATGATTTCAATTTTTCACTATAAATCATTGAACAAATATCACTTGAACACATACATGTATCATATTGTTTTAGCTGTTGTTGTTTCGGTTGTTTTGCGGTTTTATTTAAATCATTCAAATGACATAAACGATCCCGATCCAACTTTTTAATTTGTATCAATTCTTGTTTAAATACATTATGATAATTTATATGGAAATATTCTGCACTCCATTGATTCGAGGGGAATAAATGCAAGCGTGGGAGATCAGCATCTGTCATCTGTGTTGATTGATAATGATTTGCGATCAAATCAATGCTAAGCATTTGTTTAGATTGATTATTTTGTTTATTATTATTATTTGTATCCATTGGGGATTGACGCGGTTCATTTAAAACATGGCGCAACAGATACTTGTTTAAACTGAAGTCATTTATTAAATCACCAATCAATTGTGGAACATTCGATTCTTCAGTAATTGTGTAAGTGATTTCTTTGTTGTATTTTTTGCTTTGATCATTTTGATTTTTCTCTGAAAGTTTGGCTGGTGGATTGGAAGACTGTAGAGTGGGGAATGCTTTCAGCTTGGATGAGGTAAACACACTGGAGGAGGGTTTCGATGTAATTCGGCTTATTCCATTTCTGTTGAAACCGGTGAGAATGAAAAGTGTGAGGAGTTTTACAATTTTACATGGTATCATCTATTTCCTTTTTTCTGTCGGAATTTAATTCCACATTATTTATTTATCTTGCCTCCAGGTAATTATCAGTTCTGTGTGAATTATCTCTGTTGTAAGCAGGCGAAGTGGATATTTCCCTTTCACCCAAAAACAGAGTGACAGTTTTATTCATAGAATAATTGCACGGAAGCAAATCGTTCTAAACTTTTGTCTGACATGTCCCTATTTAAATGAATAGATGAAAAGAATAGTTAGTTGATACAAATATGTGTGGTTATTTCCAAAAATAAACAAATTAAATTGTGCACAGGATCATATTTTGATCGACTGCTCTGTATCGATTATGAGATATGGCTTTAGATTTTTGACAACCATTGCAAAACAGGTGAATGCCATTGCCCGTTGGGTCTAATCAGTGACTCTTCGGTGTTGGAAGTGATGGGTTCTGGGGTCAAGTCTTACTAGAAACATACTATCGCCCACTGTGGATTGCTCTCTAGTTTTTCAGATGACCTCAAGCCCGAGAAAAGAGTCTAAGGATTCGGGTTAGGGCTAGCAACCCTACCCCGGAAAATTTTCCAGTCGCTAAATAAACTTCAAGATACAAGAAAAATATAAAAATATAAAAAAAGCTTATTATTCGGTGGAGTCTGGAAGGCGGAATGACACAGGTCAGTGAGATGTTCCGGGAAGCCAGTCACACACTGTGCGACTTGTTTCGATAAAATCAAAAATAAGAATAGGGATGTGGAATGTCCGCACAGTGTACGAAACTGGTAAGACTGCCCAAACTGGCAAATAAATAAAGATAGGAGTCATGAAAGTGCAGGAGTCTGCGAGAGCAGATAGAATAGATGTGGATTATGGAAATTTTCAACTGGTGAGTCAGTTATGTACTCCGTTCACGCAGACGACAACCACAAGCACATTTAGGGAGTGCCAGTCATGTTGTCATTAGTGTCAGCCAACCAATATCCTCTAAAATAATGACAGGAAGATTCAACGTTAAAGAAGGGAAGGTTATGATTATTCGATGCTATGTGCCTATAAACAACTCAGAACTATAGAAGAATGAAGCATTCTACAAACAACTGCGAACGCTGATGGACAACGTCCCAATTGGTGATATCAAAATTCTAATGGGCAATATGAATGCCACACTGCAAGCGGACAGTATAGGAAGAGGCCATCATGGGTCGAGTGGCTCTCGCTGAAATGGATAATAACATAGAACGCTTGAAAGTGACGTTTGCATGCACAAGGATAAACACAAGTCAACATGCATTTCACTTAACGGACACACAGGAAACCAAATAGACTACATCTCAATCTTGATAAAGTGGATGAGCAGCCTCCCTGACACAAAGTACAATGCATTCGCATAATATATTCTGTACATTCTAATCATAAACAGGTACTTACCAAACAGTTTTACATTACGGTACTTTAAATGCTTGAAGCCTAATTGGAGCCACTGTACATCATTGTGCTAACTTATGGAGTCATAAAAGCACACAAGTGGTAATATGCAATAATGTTAGACATGTTACTATGTTAATGAAGTTTTGTTTTGAACTGGGCCGCTGAAGCATGTTGAAATCAGCCTAACGATCGGTCTTAATGACTTGTTTTACGACAGAAACCATTTGACACTTATCTTTAGGGTCAGCAGAGTTATGCGATGTCATCTGCTTTCGTGAGAATGTGCTGAAAACAACTCTAATTTTCAGAAGAAAAACACTTTGTCATTAACCCAAATCTGTTGAGATATATTGAGACAGGAGGTGAGGTCAAAACTAAAACACTCAAGCTGCAACTTAATCAGGTTTCAACTGCTTAAAAAGACTCTTCGTGGTCTGAACGAGGGAAAGAGATCTTTGCGTCCTACCGAATAGCTGAACAAAGCTCCCTTAGGACAGATGCAGTCACAAAAGGCTCCAAAGACAGAGAAAAGATGATTATTGTACGATAAATTTGCGGTTTCGTTAAACAATAATAGCATCAAAACACAAAATTACCTCAACAGATCATTTAGACAGCTGTACAATTCAGTTATTGTACAAAATGAGTACTCAGAGTCAGTCAGAATATTACCAAAAAGGTGGAATCAAAAACAATGTCCACAAATTTTCTCACGAACATGTACACTCAACCACGAAAAGAAGCATTAACATCGCAGATTAAATAGGAACAAAGACAAATGATAAGTATCGAACCAACAGGTAATATTCAAATGTCACATTCATGATATACAGTCTAGGAAAAAGTGAGATAATAATCAAGTTCAAGTATTGGTTTTGTAGGGATTCCATTGACTGGTTATAGGATTTCATCATGACCTGACGTCGGCTAGAGAACTATTGGAAAACCGGCAATAAGTACTAGACAACTGTCTCGTCCTAGTTTGAGACTCTTCACAGTACGCACCCACCGAGGCTAGAACGTAAGAACTTCTGGTTACAAGGCGAGCTACCCCGTTGACCAATAAGCCACTGGGAGCAAATCCAACGGCCCCTGAATTCGAACTTCTACCAATTCACGACATAGCGCGACCGCTAGCCAATGTCTTCGGCGAGTATTTGTCCTCACACCCGACCTGTGGCTTCATGGTCTACGAGCTCGCCTTGTAACCAGCAGGTCCTGGGCTCCAACCCCTGTGGTGGGTGCGTGCTGATGAAGAGTCTCAAGCTGGGACAAAACAGCTGTCCAATACTCCAAGGTTTTCCAGTGGTTTTCTAATCAATATCAGCTCATGATGAAATCCTGTAACCAATCATAAATTTAGTTGAAACATCGAAATAAGCATAGGTATTGTGCTTAGATTGTCCATGAGAGATCCTCCGAACAACCTCACTGTTACACAAGTTATCCTAGGCTCAGTGCATCTTATTTCCGTGGTCTGCGTTATTGAATTCTGACTCAGCTTATATAATATTTTCATATTTCATTTCTTTTTCTAATACTGTGAGCAACAATATCCATCAGTCTGTTCTAAAATAAGTGCATATCTGTCTAGTTGGTTAGATAACTAACCATCCCTAAGAGACTGACTGTACCTGTTAAACAGAGAAACAGGAGGAAGCATGCTTCCTCAGTAAGAAAGGCATCCGAAGTAACAGAGGATAATAAATAGGAAGCCGTTTCATGGTAGTGTGGAACTCATAGCCGAATAAGTCATAGAATCTAGGGATCCAGTCTGGTAATGAATGGGTCCTTCCGAATAGTCTTAAACTAGAATGAAATAGCCGTCCAATACTTTGTGGTTTTCAAGGATTCTCTGGCTGATATCGATTCGTCAAGTTATCTATGGCGAAATTTGATTCCTTTAAAAATTAGGTAAGACTTATACTCAGCATTTGTACTTATCTATAAACTACAAACATCGTAATATTAACTCATGACGTTTCGACCACAAATTATTGCTCATAATCATATCAAGTCATTCACAAAACCTTTAACTTCATTTATTGCTCCAAATACATTGAATCCTATACCAAAAATATGGTGGCTATATGTGAATGACACTTTCATAGTGTCAAAAACAGGACATATCTCTAGCTTCTTGAGGCATGTTAACTCACTGGTGAAGGGAATACAACTTACATTTGAAACAGAACATAAACATGAAGAATTAGCTTTGATATTAGGTTGTAAAATAAAACGAACAGAAGAAAGTAAACTGTACACTAGCGTTTATAAAGAGCCAACGCATTCAGCTAATAGATATTTAGACTTTAATTCATATCATCCGTTATCTGTCTGTGAAGGCGAACCTAGTTAAGTGTGTAACAAACCGAGCAATAACTCTACTCAGTAGTACATCAAAAAACCTAAATGATGAAATGAGATAGATTGAAGAAGCGTTGGTGTTAAACAACTGACTACCCAATACAGTTCATTAGGAATATCCAAAAAGGTCAGAAGCAAAACAAAAATAATTGTGAAACTAATAGTGATAACATGAATAAGAGAGACTATAAGGCGTCTGCAGTGGTTTACCGTACAAGGAGGGGACATCTGAGACCCAACGTAGGATTCTTAATAAAGCAGGAATTAGGGTGGTGGTATTCAAACCTGCAAACTCACTCAGGGACAAGCTCTGTAGGTAAACAATCGGTTGACTCTATTAAACAGATTAATATAATAAAAAAATACGCTGGATTGACTGTTAGTGAGGTGAACTACATAGGTCGAACTAGTAGATCAGGAGTGGTGAGATTAGCAGAACATAAGAATTCAGCTGAGGCTAGAATGACTGACCCCACGAAGATGAGTAATTTCGAGAAAAACTCAGCAATCGCACTGCATGCAAAAACACACAGCCACACAATAAGGTGAGACAGAGTCAGAATTCTAAAAAGCGATATAAGTAGGTGGAACAGAAATGCTAATGCAACAGATAAAGCTCAATTGAAATACCAGAGATATGGAACCTATTATCACCAGTCACATCAGAGGAGGATAATAAATAATTTTAAAATTCTATTTCAGTTAATGTAAATCATAACATTCTAACAAACTACTTAATGTGACTATAAAACACTAGTCTTATTTCCCATCTGATTGTATTTTATTGGTAAAACTAATACTATTTCTGAATGTTCATTATGTTATACTGATTTTATTCAAATGTCTGGTCAATTTTTACTCATGTATATAAATGAGGGAAAGAGTTGTGAGAGTAACTCGATATGATTATGAGCAATAGTTTGTGCTCGAAAGGTGGTCATCACCCTTTGATTTATCAAAATAAAATCTTAACTATAGTGGAGTTATACTATACCAAAGTGCCAAAGTTTTATACTTATTTCAATACAAACGACGTAATCGGATACAACTTTGGCGATGCCATAAACTTTCACAGATTACTGTCATTTGTGGCCCTAAGAGAAGGAATACTAACAGAATGCTACTCAGTGTGTTGTGACTGGAAATGAAATCCAGCAGAATGGGGATTTCATCCATCCTATTCGATACAAGTCAGCTGGATGATGCACTTGTGAAGGGTTATGTTGTCGCTGAAACTTAAACCAAGAACTCATCGTTTGAAAAGCCAAATGTTAACTTGGTTTGCATCAAGTTTCACCATGGATTGATATCATTTAGAGAACCATTGAAAGTCGGGGAATACTGCAAAGTTGTTTCATCCTTGTTTGAGACTCCTCGTCAGA